TTTAGCTGTTTAAAATGCTTACCTGTAATATATTTCAAAAGGTCATAATCATCACTCTCTTGAGGTACATTAATTGTACATGTTGAGGAACTGGGAGTGATGAAAATGCTTTCGTCTTCTGAACCGTCTTCTGAAGCCATATTCAGTCCGACTACTGTTAACGTTAACCTGACCTTAGCTTGCAGAAAATGAAATGAATTTTAAGCAAACGCATATAATCAAACAATGTTGAAATCCCATGGCGCTGTCCAGCATTCACTGGGCGGCATACAAAAACCAATCAGACCGTAGTATTAAGATACTGTGTTTAAATAAACAAACGATTCCACGAGTAAAAAACGCTCTAGTTAAAAGATAATTAAAAACATTAATTATTGGCTTTGTTTCTATGATAAACAAGCTAGTAGTATTAAGATACTGTGTTTAAATAAACAAACGAATTCCACGAGTAAAAAGCGCTCTAGTTAAAAGATAAATTTAAAAACATTCATTATTGGCTTTGTTTCTATGATAAACAATCTAGAAAGAAAACAATTGGATTTTGATAAGAACAATTATTATACTAGATAATCACTTCGGCACGCAGCATTCGTAGGTATAATGCAGGCAGCTTCTACGCGAATGCTGCGTGCCTCAGTAATTATCTATTAATTAATGTTTTTCGTCATAGCGTTTCTCCACGACCTCAACGATTTAGTGTTTTCAAATGTTGGGATGGTGCCTTTGAGTTTTTCACCAAGCTTAGAGAGGTACTTGTTTTCCTCATGTGGCCACTCTGTTATTTCCTTGTTTTTAAGAATTTTATCAGTAACTGTTTTGCAAACTTCAATGAGAAGACTATTCTTTTCAATCAGAAAAATGTTTGCACAGTTTTGTTCTGGTTGATAAGACTCTAAGAACGTTATCCTTGCTCCAGTACATTCCACTAGCAGTTACACTTGTAAGAGGTGTAGTATTTTCTGAAGCTCGTGTCTTCACCTCAACTAGAAATGTCTGTCCAAGTCCATCTGGACTAGCACCATACCTTGGATCAGTTGGGTAATGGAAGTAGCCACTGGTTGAAATGGGAACTCCTGTAATAAATAATAGAAAATGATAAAAAAGATTTWAAAAATATGTTAGTTTTGTTTGATTCTTTTCCTTTTTTCTAAACGACAGGTAGACAAATAGACACGTATTATTTTCTTGTTATTTTATTACATAGAAATTTACCACATACAATTACCCTTTTACATTATCATTTTGTAAAAATGTATTAACATTTTATCATAAGTCAGCAAATATCTATGAATATCATTATGTTATCATTTGATAATGTGAGTAATGCACAAATAACATACCTGTTATTTTTTCAAATAATTCAATCGCTTTTCCCTCAAATTCCACACCTCTAGTATAGTTCTTGAACTTTTTTGGAGCAACCTTATTCTCATCCAGCTTATTATGAATGCAAAACCATGCTTGATCAAATTGTTTGTGACCACAAAAACCAATAAGCTTGGTATTTTGCTTGCTGTTATCTTTCCTACCCGTAGTGCCTGCCATTCACCAGCGCCCTGTTCTACGGACACATAATTATGTCCACATGGGTGTACTTTTTTGTATAAAGGAAGTTTTAGCTCAATTATATTTTCTTTAGATGCATGGAGTAATTGTAGTAGATGCAAGACTTCTTTATCTTCATTTTGATACATTAATTTCCTTTCTTCAGAACAAAGCATTTTATTCCCCTCATTTTGTTGCTGTGATTCCTGTTCATGTTCAAGTGTTGCCTTAGTTTCTACATTTAAGGTGGGAACCGTTACTGTAGACTTAACAGGACTTTTTGTGATAAGAATCTCATTGTCAAATAGAGTTTCAATATATCTGCAGTAATCATGATCCATGAAGACTACTTTTGCCCTCCATGAGTTATTATAATGAAGCTGCTTAGCAAGACCTGACTTTATATTATATCTTCTTAATGTTTTGTAAAAATGTATGTGCAGTTGTTGCTTGTCTATGCCACTAACAACTTGACAACTCGCCCCTTATCATTTAATGGCTTTCTTGTGGACCTTGTATTTCTGAATGACCTTAATACAATGTGTGAGGTCTTTGTTGGAACTCCTGCCTTAGCGCCTTTCCGATGCCATTTTTGCATCTTTTCGGTGCAAGTTAGGGACAGCAGCCTAGTTTTGTTCTTATTGTATTGTTCTAAGAACATTACCAAAGCAATAGTATGGCAGCAAATGCCGCATTTACCTATGGGGGCAGGTGCAGTGTCCTTTGACCGGAATATTGTTTACAAACATAACGACAGCCGGACGTATGATTTCTTGTCCAAAGTTTTTAATTATCATTGCTTTTACAAACGTTTTTCCATCAGTTTGCATGCACTTCACAGTTTCAATCTTCCTAGAAAACATCATTCGCCTTGCCTTTCTCGACTGACCTTTGCTTCCCTGTTTTTTGATGCTTGTGTGATTAGAAATTGTTTTAAAATTCACTTTCGGATATAGAGAAGGGTCTGCATTCCAAGCACTTGATGATGTGGGAATCTCCGAACTTTCCATGCTTGTTTCAAAAACATACGAGGTGTTTACCTGGCTTAATCTTTTCTTTAACAGTTCCTTGTTTTCTTGCACAGGTTTTAGCCTGTCAATAAGCTCTTCTTTCGTTCCCGTTCCTTTCAATCTAAACTACAGTGATACTGCCCTTAGGTCCTCCACTCTCCATTTTGTTAAGTCAGTGTTTTCGTTTTGCAAATCCATCAATGTTTTCGTTTTGACCGGGGCTTTACTAATATCTTTTTTTGTCAGAAGACGACGTCATGGAATTATCTCCAAGTTTAGTTTTCATTTCACTCACAATTATATAAAAAAACTACTTCAAAAACGCAGTATAAAGTTCAAGTATTTACTTTTCTGAAAAAGGGCTTGGCAACTTGAGCAAATTTGCTTCGTTCCCAGTCTCTTTCGACATGAAACCCGGCAATGCAGGGCTTGTGGCGGATTACATGCTGTAGGGCGTTGAGAGAATCCCATGTCATTAAGCATTTTACGGGAATTGGAATGGAGGGTGAAAAGGCCTTTTACGGAAGCATGTGATATAAGCTCAACAGGGCCTAGAACAGAGGATGCACTTTTCCATGGAGAAAGGATCACTTCATTTTTAATGGCATACATCTCTTCTTATTCATCATCATCATCATCATCATAATCATAAATGGAGCATCTAAGTCTCACTGCAGCATTGGGCTTTAGTTGAAAGCTAGCTACGTCTGATCCATCGAAGGATTGAATAGCTTCTATTCTTTCAATGTCGTAGTACTTCTTCCCCTTGACAACTGCTTTAAGGGCAATGTCGCAGAATCTTACGATGTTATGTTCAGGATTTAATGGGGCCTTTCTAGGGAGATACTTAGCAGCTACATGTCTTTTGTTCCTCGATCTTGATACGTATTCCCTTGGTAAAACAAGCTTTACTGCTTGCCTAATATAGATCATCGTAATTCCTTTCGTATCACGCTTTCAAATATTCCACTTTTTATCCTGCTCATTAAGATTAGATTCCTCCATACTTTCGTCTTCGGCTTCTTCAGCTGCACTGGAGTCAATGTCTTCGCGATGTTCGAGATGTAATGTTGCTACACATTCGCTCTCGTCGTTTTCACTCTCGAGTGCTGCTTCTACTTCCTTGTTGATAGTACTTTCGTCACTATAGAAAGATTCTTTTAGCTTGTTGTAATCCTTGTTCACGGGATTCTTTGCTATAATCATGTTGTCTGGGTGCTTAAAAGTGTAAGGGGTTTCCCAAGATTTAGCACGCTTCAGAAGTTCTACGCATGCTGACGGCATGTAGGTTTCAAATAATTTCTGTCCCATACTTACTCCCTTGCGGTGAGATTCTTTTTGTTCCAGTAAAAAGTCACTGTAGCTGGCAGGGTAGTCGTAACCAGATTTCGTAGAAGCTTCTTCTTTGTTGTTTTTAAATCCAAATGCAAGACGACGGCGTTTTGAACTAGACTTGACATTGATTCCAGCTCCTGCAAGTTTTTGCTTCACGTTCAAGTTGTACCGTACGCTGGAACTTCTGTGCAGCATATCAACATAAGATGGCTGGGCGTCGAGTGTTTGAATCTCATTGSTCTTTCCTTGCATTTCGCTTATGATGCGTTCAGTGGTCTTTGTGCCTGAAAGATTTGGCGAGGCAAAATATGGGCCTAGATCTTTGAAATGCATGAACATTGCTAGTTGGTGAGCGGTTGCAGCCGCAAACAAAACTTCTGCAGAAGAGTAACATCCATAAGTATTGAAATGTCCTCTTTTCGCTGGATCATGTTTAGTACCAGGACTTGCATAAAGGCGCAGCTTCTGTAATTCGAGACATTTCTTCCAAAGACGTAAGATCGTGATGGCACATGATATTGAACACTGTACATCTCTGGGTATCCAAAGTCAGCTTTCCTAAACGGTTCCATAAGATGATAAACTGCTCTTATATATAGGCTTGTTGCTTGTGAGCCTGGGATGAACTCATCAAGAAGATCAGCAGTTCGTAGGGTGAAAAGTCTTTCGCATGCGTCGGAATTCTGGTCAAAGAAATAGATTAGAACAAGATCCATAGCGTTAAATCCGCAATCCATTCCTAGCTCTTCACATTTCCTACGAAGATCTTTAAGATGATTGACTGTGGCCAGCCGAGTAGTTTTCTTTCCATCTTTCCAAAAGGTAAGCTCACGCGTTTGATATTTGAGGTTCTTAAGGAACAATCTTTGTGCATGATCATGGTCCAGATAGGCTAGACAAGGAAGGGACCAAACGTAAGGAGCAAGAAATCGTTCGTCGCTCTCACCAAGACCAAGAAAAACTACTCCCTTGTTGAGTTCATTGTGGCTTGGCGTCATCAAGTGGATAGCGRCTGACAAAGAAAAACCAGCAGCATCAGTGGAAAAGCCCATCAGATTTATGGGGAGCTGTCTAGGCTTCCCATTTTCATCGTAAAACGCGAGAAATCTCAAATGTTCCCAGTATTTCAACAAATGTTGTGCTTTATTCCCGCTGTCTGGCGTCGGCCACATACAGTAAATTACTGTCGGTTTCTCATGTGACGTGAGTGAAACWAAATTATGCACCGAAACAGTTTTTGAGAGTTGTTCGGAGGAGACCAAGGCATCTGAAAACCGTTCTAGGGCGGTAAAATCATCTGGGTCTCCTTTGCTTACATCTTGTCTAGGAATAGGACGCGTATTTTCTTGGTTCCATTTTTTGACGTCTGGGTCCCAACTCTTTCCTAGAAGAACTACTTTTCCAACTCTGTTCAAGTAAGGCTGAAGATATCTTAAAGCTCTAGCACCGTCATTTGATTCGTTAACTGGCATTCCTTTGAACAAAGTGGTTGCACTAGACAAAGCTGACTGATTAATCCCTGGATCAAGCGTTTGTGTCTTTGCATGATTGGAAGCGGTAACGGTAAGGGTAACTCTTGCTAGTCCAAATATTTCAGACAAGATGGCATAGTTTGCAGGCCCCAGCTCATTACGAAACAGACCACTAATATCYTTCACCAAGTCTACATAATGGTGATTGTTCTTTTTTAGAAGTTTCGACACAAGATTTCGAAGAACTAGGACTTGAATTGGATTCGATTTAGCAATACCGCTGTTCATGAGACGATTCAAGTCTAATGCAAACTTAAAATCGTCTTTGTTCTGGCAGGAGGAAATTAGTTTTGATTCCCAATCGAAGGGTGTCAGATTAGTTTTAATAAGTTGTAAAACTTTTTTTTCCGCTTCCTGTCTCTTTTGCTTTTCTTTCGACAGGGCACTCGCAAACTCCATTCGTCGAGCATACCTGGTGTTAAAGCCCGCTAAATCAATTCTGTTCTCATAGTCTTTGTAGGCATTACTTTGACGGTGGCGTATGGTGTCCATCAGCTCTCGCTCTTGTCTTGCGCATGTGGTACACGTGAAAGGATGGTCGCCATACGACAGTGCATAACCTTCGCATGGAGGGTGAATGCTTTTGATCCCTCCTTCTATATCAATGCTTTTTCCATGCACAGTTATTTTTCGGTATAGGGGTATGAAAAGAGATCGTGAAGAAATATTGGCTTTGTCTACTATGTCAGCTGCATCAAGGGGATGCTTCTTTTTCCAACCATTACAACTTGAGCAGTCCTCGTGCCCTATCACTGATTTATAGCATCGCAATACACCGTTAGATTTCATGTCCTTGAAAAGAGATAGGACTGTTGTGCGGCGAATCTGCTTGTCGTTTAAGAAATGTTTAACGACCTCCGGGTCCCACAAGTAGCAACATTGAAATGTTTGCATTTTTGGAGATCCAGAGGTCCATTCCCGTTTAAAGAAGTTGTAAAGAAGCTCGTGATTTTGGGATTGACTTCTGTTTTCATTCTTTTCGGTGCATCATCGTTTAGGATTGCATCTTTATCATCTTCACTTTCTAAGAACTGGAGGGCGTCTTGGTGATACTTGGAATAAAATTGCTGTTTTGTTTGAACAACACCAGAAAATTCGAGTTTGGCGCTGCCTTCAAGTATGCTCTGTGTGTTCACCGTCTTTGATCTAATAACATGGCGGCTTTTGTGATTTCCCGGTGCCCATTTCTGATGAGGAATGCAGAGTTCGCACCTTATTGTGCTTTTACCTCTGTATGTGAACTGTGGGAAGAGTTCACCGCTTGTTGCAATTGGTAAAGTGGTCTTTTTCGAAAGGCTTCCGACTTTGAAAGGTGGAAATGCAGCAACTAGGAACGATCTCATTCGCGCATCGTTCGAAGGAGAAATAAGCCCAGCATATTAATAGCCTAGGTATTCTTGGTAAAAAAAGAAGAGAGATACTCCATGAATGTCTTTGGCTTTCCTGGAAGATTTGCAGAACGCATCTTCTGAATCTTTTTGTGGTGAAATGTAAAGAAGTCTTCACTTGAAGAAGATGTCAGAGAATCGTCAAACATTTTCTGAATCTGAAGACACCTCATAAGACGACATTCTACGTCGGTTTCTTTTTTTTTTTCTTGTTCTAATTCCGAGTAAAAACGTTCTGATTCTGAAGAATCTTCTTCATCATCTTCTTCTTCATCTTGCTCATTTTCTGAGGTACTTTCACTCTGAACCACAGAAGCGCCTTTAAAGTAGTTCTCAGGTGGGATGTCTGGCGTACTTGGGTTTGACTGCTCTTCCGGGAGTAATTGGTTTGAATACGCGCTTTGGCTTTTCTCGATATCCAAAGGGTCAGAAGAGATCACAGGTGGAATGTCGTAAATGGGCTGTTGGTGTTTTTGTGTGAACTGCTCTTCTGAAAATTCTTCTCCTTTTTCGATGCCTCTGAACCCCACTTTCTTTCCTTTGCGAGTAACTGGTAACACTCGACCTATGAAACACGTCTGCGATAAAACATTTCCAAGCATCGAAAAAAACTTTTGCCTGTCTAAGAGTGCCATTGCGCTTGATTGATATTTGCACCAAATATCATCTTTACTTATAAAGGAGTCCAGGGAGCCAATATTGAATGTCGTTGAAAACCACGAACGCAAGTGTTCCTTGGGCTTTAAACATAAGGATATGGTGCGTCAGTTTTGTAATGGGTTACTTGAAAAATGCATATGCAATGAGAACGATTAGTCGAAAATGCGGTACCTTGACATTCTGATTGATAGTAGGACATGCTATTACTTATGAGCTTCCTTCGCCGCACTCTACACAAAATAAAAAGTCAGCAATCATGACGTATTAATTCGAAAGTCTCTGATCGTATACATTTTTGAATATGATGTATAAAAACAACGGAAAATTTGCCGTTTCCTTATATAACTAAACTGCAAATGCAACTAAAATAAAAGATGATACTCAAGATTCAAAAGCTAAGAAATTATCAGGCTATTTTCGTTCTGAATTGCAAGAACGTTCCTAAAACAACAAAACATTACTATACCTTTGTCAATCGTTGTCCGCACTATTTTGTCGGGATGGAGTTCGCAATTCTTGAGCCTTCAGGTGCATACGAGCTTACGTATCCAGCAGTTTGGTGTTCATGAAAGTGAGAAAACATGGAATGCGTTATTCTCAAATAAGTAAAGAGAGAAGAAAAGACAGACATTAATATTGTATGAGAGGGCTAAAAAATGAGTCGGCTGCAAGCGTAATTATAAGCATATAACATTAGAAGAAAGCTTAAGTCCCCTAATGTTTATGTTGAGAAGGCAAAGACACGGTCATAGGTATGAGCCAGTGTTTTGTAAACCACTTATAAACATCACGCCATCTGATAATATTAGAAGAAAGCTTAAGTCC